TTTTTGTCATACCAGATTCCCCTGGTAATCACATATTGCTCAATTATCATTCCACCAAAGTAGCAACAGTCAATACAGCAATGGTAACAGAGGCAGGCTTTATATGGCTCAGCTACGACAAGGTGACTTTAGAAGAGTCTATCAGTCAGTAGATGGGAAATTGCCCTACAGCATTTATTCTTGAAAGCAAGAATCCCATTGCCTGGCCAGTTTGCTCAAGTCTCAAATAAAATGTTTCTCATGGATGGAGTCAAAGACTCCATTGTGGTTCTGCATTACATTTTTGAAGCACAGATGTGGTCATGAAAGAGAGGAAGAGGGTGAGGTTTCCTGTTATAACGACCTTGGCTATATTGGGATAAACTAAGCAATCTGACTATACAGTAGTGGGAATTTAGGCATGCAGATGTTCTTCGCACAAAAATGCCACAATAGCAGCTCCAGACATGTGGCTCACCGGGCAACCAAAACCTGGCACTCCGAGGCTTAAGGAGATTTGGAGCTTAAAGGCAGAATCACTTAAGCAAGGATTATTTTTACTGAAAGAAATTAAAGTTTACATTCAAAAGGTCAAGCTGAGGCTTATGGTTTTAAAAAAGAAGTCAAACAGGCATTTCTAATGCTAAAATTCATTTATATAAAACTTTCTGCAATACTGAGAGCCACTTTGCTGTAGCTGGGCTAGAAACAGAGCCTTCATCTGGATCCCTGATTTATTTGTATGTTGGGAGCCCTCATGATTCAATTTCCTTTAACCACACAATTAGTTTGGACTACCAGAAAGTATAATGAACGATGTGAATAAGGTTGAATAGTGATTCTGAGAAAGCTATTAGAGAAAATCCTTTCATAAACACTACATTACTTAAAAAATCCAACAAGAGCTGTAGAAAGCCTCAGGGACAGAAATGGTTTGCCAGTTTTGAAATAGTTTCCCATATTTGTATGTAATAGCAGCTTCTAGCTACCTTTTGAGGGAAATCCAAGGGGAGGTGATTAATAGCATGGGCAAAATCCAGTAGGACAGCTAATTGAACTTTGTGTTATTGAAACTATCATCACTGGTCCAAGGGATGCAGAGGGATAATGTGAAGTACAAAGCTGCAGTAGGAAAAATACCCTATTGTGGCTGACTTACTCCTTCTTCATTCCTACAGATTTCAAAATTTCTCAGCAATCCTGCTCAAAGCTGAGCATTCTGAAAAATGGGGAACCCACTTTAGTCTCCCTTCCCCAAGTTTGGAGAGACAAATTCCTGGTATCCAGAGAAACAAATGCAACACCATCATGTACTACCGGTATATGAATAGTGCACTCATGGACCTATGTTCTGTGTACTTGCTTTTCAACATATATTGTCTGACATCCAAGGCATGGCAACCAGCAGATCAGAGCAGAATCTCAGAGAAGAGGCCATCTATATCAAAACTCAACAGCCCTCTCTCAACAGAGAGGGAGGAATACAACATCATCTATCTCCAGTCTACAACACAGTCCTTTCAACAATTTCAAGAAAGCTCCACACCCATTTGCATTACTCATGTGACCCTGATGACATAGATAAATCTCCAGGTGGCCTCAACAACTCTCTAAAATACGGTTGTCAAACTGCCAGCCTGCAGGCCGGACGTGTCACGAGGAAACCATGCCCCCCCATATCAGATAAAATCCCATCCTGAATTGTTTGTTTATTAAACTTGTTTACTCCTGCATCTGGAACAACTCAACAATTTACAATATAAATAACACCAAGTCCCTCTAGAATTAGAATTCGCCACAAGGCAAAACATAAAACCAGACAGTCAACAAAAATTATAACCATAGGCAGTAATTGTAGTGAAGAAAGGCTTTTCCTTCTTCATTACATCAAAATTAATGCGCCACCATAGTGCTACTGTCTTGGAATCAGTTCTAGACTCAGTGCCATACTATGAAAAAAGTGACCATCTTTTTATCTCTGCTTGTTTCAGAGAAATTAACTTGTTATAACTAAGCATGCAAACATATAAACAAACACACATATAGAATAAAATAACTGTATTCCAATAACCAACGGAATTGTAAAACATTTGAATAGCAATTTAAAAATTTAAATCTTAAGACAGCAACTTAATTTTTTAAAATGTTTTTGAAATTAGCAACACTATTATATGGATGCCAAGATGCACAACAAACCCATGTTGGGGTGGGGAAGGGCGTCTTTGAACAGAAGGAGTGAATGCATGCAGAAGCAAAGCAAACCAGAATCAGTTAATGAGGGTCATGGATGCTGTGCAGAAAGGCATAGTTGATGAATAGTTTTTTTTTAAAAAAAAATAGGAAATTACAAGTAGTTTTCCACTTACAACAGTTCGTTTAGTGACTGTTTGAAGTCACAACGGCACTAAAAAAATGACTTATGACCGTTTTTCACACTTATGGCAATTGTAGCATCTCTATCCTCCAGAAGTTGTGAATGCTCTAACACTGGAAGTTTTTAAGAAGAGACTGGGCAGCCATTTGTCTAAAATGGTATAGGGTTGAGCAGGGGGTTGGACTAGATGACCTCCAAGGTCCCTTCCAACTTTATTATTGTTGTTGTTGTTGTCACATGATTAAAATTCAGATCCTTGGCAACTGGCTCATATTTATGACAGTTGCAGGGCCATGTGATAATCTTTTGTGACCTTCTGACAAACAAAAGTCGTAGGGAAGCCAAATTCACTTAAGAACCATGTGACTAACTTAACACTTGTAGCGATTCACTGAATAACTGTAGCAAAAAAGTCACAAAATAGGACAAAAGTCATTTAACAACTGTTTTGCTTAACAACAGAAATTTTGGACTCAGTGGTGGTCGTAAGTCAAGGACTATTTGTATAATAAAATCTTAACAAGTGAAAACAAAAAACAAAAAAACTAACCCTTCAGATTGTGAAGCTTATGCCTGAACTTGATTCCAACCTCAGGAATTGTTGGGACACAGAAGAAAAACTCCTGTAATGGAGCAGGCTCATAGGGTGAGTGAAGACAGTCCTGCAACTATTTTAATCTTGAACCATTCAGAGCTTTAAAGCTCATCACTGCCAAAACATTAATAATGCTAGGGAAGTCATGGGAAATAAAGCAAAAGGGCTAAAAGCAGAAAAAGAACTCAATAGCTCACTCAAACATGAAGATCAAGTAACAGCCACTGGGAATAAACCTTTGGACCTTATGAATAGGCTTTACCAATTTACTAATACATTCCATTCCCTGGCAATGTAATAAGAGTTATCACCAGTTAATATCTATGCTATGAAAAACATAGCCTAGAGACATTGATAATCAGCCTTATCTGCAAACAGTGCCTGGCACTGCATGAAGTAAGAACAAATTTCAGCCTTCCCCAAACTGGCTTTCTGTGATGTAAAAGACTACAACATCCAAAACACCAGACAGAATTTGGGAGTTCTTCAAATTACAATCACAAATATCTGAAGAACACCAGACTGGGAAAGACTGGTTTGTTATTATTTTTATTATTATTATATTAGCCATTTCTGTCACAGTTTGGAACTTCGATCACTGTATGAAAATAAACATTTCCCTTAGGTGTCAGAGTTCGTTCAGTAGCATGAGAAAAGCCAAGAGTTGAGTACCAGCAACCATGGGACCAGCCAAAACCAAAAGCAGACAAGAATGCATGAAAGCCCAGGAGGAACTTCTGGGTCACGTCAGTATGTGCTGGCACAGAAAACTCCGTTAGGCTTCTTCCTATCCAAAAGGACTTATTGGTCTTCCTGGATGAATGGAGTCAATCCACAGCCTGCCACAATTTCAGAGACAAGAGGGTGTAGTTCTGCTCCAGCCCGCATGAGGGCGCTGCACAGATTCAGACTTAAATGGGAATATTGAATCCAGTAGTAGTGGTGGGTCATTTCACTTCTGTTTTTAAAAACCTGCTTTTTATAGGAATTGTTAAAATATACATTAGTATGCCACATTGTACTTTTTGACAGATCATACCTGGAGGAAAGCTGGGAATTCTGATGAATCCACCATGTCACAGGGCAGATCAAGGGAGAAATAGTGTGGCTGCACTCTGTTTGCCATTAGCTGGTTTTCAGAGAGACAGATGAGATTTTATGGGCCACGTAAGAATTACTTAGGTGAGATGATTGGTGTAGAAATGTGATGAGTAAAATAAAATATACCCTAATTTCCTTTCCGACAGAAATAATTTAACTTAGACCTAATGAGAAAAGTTCACTTTCTTTTAACCCATTGACTCCTATTAGTAAATCTCTGGATGCAAGCAGGAAAGTGGTATGCCTGCACATCAGATGAGGCTTCTGGGCCACATCTTTGCAGCTTTAATTTATTTTCTAACAGAAATAATTCAGCTTAGAATTAGGGAGAAAAGTTCACTTTGTTTTTTCCTTTTAAGTAATATTTTGCATGCAAACGTGAAACAGCTTGCCCACGTGTCTTACACATCACTGTTTCCATTGCCCAATACCAATGCTGTTAGTTGTTTCAGAAATCTGTTTTATTTGACCATCACTTGGATGAATTATTCATAGGAGCCCGGTAACAGGAGCCTTTTCCTTTATATTATCCTTACCACAACCTGCTATATTTGTCAAGCAAAGAAACTCCATTATGTCCATTACTGTCTGGCAACACAGGGCCCTGCCTTTGGGCAAACTAGGTGGCTTTTTGCTGTTTGTTATCTATGCACGTTGTGTAAATACTTTACAGGACGCTGCTCCCGTGAATATATATTGTTCTGGGATTTTAGGCAGATTTTTCTGGCGAATTCTGGCAAATCGTGCAGACATCACTTTCTTGGAAAGGCAGCAGAGAATGCAGCCCTTGAAAATTCTTATTCTGCCCACTCCTTCCTTGACTCACATATGCAAAAATCAGCCAGCCAACTCATTGGCTGCTTTGATACGTGGGGGTGGGGGAGAAGTGGGTGGGAAGTAGGAATAGAATTGGAGGCAGCTATCACTCTTGATATTAGCCTTGTGAATTTCCTTCTTTGCCGGGAGAAATTTAGCAGCTGAAAGAGACAGAACTTAGAAAGGGCGCCGCCAAAGAGAGAGAAAGAGAGAGAGAGAGAGAAAGAGAGAGAGAGTAACCCTCCTGACTATCACTTCCAGATGGTTTTTTGTCCCTCCTTCTCTTGTCTGCACAGGTAATGTGATACCTTTTTCCCATCTCCAATTGATGCATGCCTTTTTTTAAAAAAAAAATAGGGAAGCAAGGCAGAAAGTTAATTTCTTTGACTGACTCCTGCATTTAGCTTGTCACTTTGTGGGTAAATAATTGAGCAGAACCTTTCAGATACTTTCTTTTGATTTTCTCAAACTCAATGGGATTATAGCCCATCTATCCTGGTGAGCAAACTTTTGACCAAGCAAGATTCCCAAAGTCAGAAGTCACAGTTTAGGCAGTAGAAAAGTATTTTTTTCCCCCATCCAAATGGAAAGAATGGAGGGAACAAGATAAAATTTAGCACTTTGTTTTAATTATTAAAGGAACCATCTGTTTAGAAGCCCCTTCCTCTTGCACATAATAAGTCTTGCTGTAAGGAATTTCTAAGCCACTAATATTCTTTGGAAGAGCACCAACTGTACATCTGCAGATACATATTACAAATTAAAGGAAATATGTTGGGTTCCTAAGAAGAGCTCACAGACTACTTTGCTGTGGATTATTGGGAAGCACACTGTCTGTTATAGCAGTTATTATAAGTTAGCAGCAATGAAGATACAGGTTAAAAGAATTTCCTGGCGATGTTTCTTTGAACTTGGCCATAATGCTGATCCAACAGAAAGAATAATGGATCTGTTAGGATCAGCATTATGGTTGCATCCATATTTTCTATTGCCATTTTCCTTTCATAGCAGAAAGTAGGTGAATAATGAGAAGACACTTTGAAAACTAGGAGGAAAGTAAGAGGAGACAGTGCACTTCATAAATTTGACAGCTTTGATGTAATGATACCAACAAATGGCCCAATCTTTGCGTAGAACAACAATCTTGAGAACTAAAATTTTGGTGGTAGTAATGGTAGTAATGGCAGTAATGGTTAGCTAACATATTCTGAATCTCTTTGCTTTAATTTTGAGTAAGGGTATGCAATAAAGAGATCTGGGGCTATCATCAATAGATCTCTGGATGATTTGCAACAGACTTGCAAGAATTTCTGATTCCCAATTATTTAACAATATGCACAACAAAATGACTCTTCTTGCTGTAAATTACTCTGCTAAAAGAAAGCTTGGGATAAACAGACATGGATTGTTCCTTTGACAGCTTGCAAGCTCCAATCAGTTGTGACATTCAAAACAAATTTCCAATCTCAGATTTCCCTCTAAAGTGAGGAGAATTGACGTGAAAATAGATGAATTTCCTAATATCATATGGTGGAAGGGACAGCTTCAGAAATGAATTCAAATACATTTATTCCATCGTTTCAAAAGTATCCAAAAATATACTTCTTACTGTCGAGCATGCTTTTTTTTAGAAATGTTTGCTAATTTCTCTTCTGCCATAAACTCATAAATCACTGCTTGTTGCAGTGAGAAGAAATAATTTTGATAGCATTTCTAGATCGTTTATAATTTTATTATGTAATTGTGATATGTTTTTACCATCATCTTGCTATGTTATCTTAATTTTTAATTCTAAGCTGATGTCAAAGATGTAGAGTTTAAATATATTTGTGAGAAGTTGGCATTGTTGAAATATAAATATTTGGGCTGGCTGTAGATGAGGGATGATGAAAAGTAGGATTATCTAAATGAGAAGTTATTTCAGCTGGAACTACCAAGCACTGGTTGCCAAGTGCAGCTTCTTTATCATTCCCATTGGTTATCACAGCCTGGAATCATGCTCATTTACAAAGGAAATGCACACACTAATCACTGCATTGAAAAATCATATAATCCTACTCAAAGTTGATTGATAGTAGGGGGAAATCATTTATATATTAGAGACAGAGAAAAAAAATCTATTCTGATTCCATTCTCCCAAATGTTTGCAAGTAAAAAAAAAAGAGAGAGACTATTAGAAACTCCACATTTGTTATAGTTTTCAACTTTTCTGATACATGGAATACTGGGTGCAACTTTTTTCCACAATGTAGATTTTGTAGAAAATCTCCCTAATGTACAGAATATCATTTTCTCTAACATGCAGTCTGTATGCATTTGAACATATCGTTTTCAAATACGTGCATTTTGATACAAAAGTTTGAGGTAGCCAATGACATCCCTTCCTGTCTGTGCTACAATAGTCTATTTTGGCTGATCTCTCCAAGGAAATACACACATTGAAATCCATGGTAAACTGCTTTTATACCCCAATGCACCCAGTTTTAAGAGCCATGGGAGATAATAGGGATAGCATTTTCCAACTGTATCTGTTATTGAAATCATTGTTGAACATCTCCTGATGAATGATCTCTTCATTTCTTAAATAGTGGCAACCCATTTGGGTTGATGTGGAGATGTGGGAAAAGTTCAGGCTGATACAGTGGTGCCATGCTTGTCAAGAACAAAGTCCTTTTGTATTTCATGTCGCCCATTTCAAAATAGACTTTCCAATTTTTACTGCGGTTGGAAGGACATGGGAAAAATGCAAAGGAACATGCTGATGCAGTGAGAGTTTGCACATCTATATAAATTATATGATGAAGCAGCAGATTACCTGCCTGGTTATTAACAAATTAGCCTCAAATTGTATTATGTTATGTGAAGGGAAATGGGAGAAATGAGGGAGAAGAGATCAATTTGTACATTAACGTAAGAAGCATAGCTGATGCCAATGCCAATCAGGTTGACATTAATACCTGGTAAAATTCTGAGAAAGATAATCAAGCAGTGGATTTGTGAGCACCTAGAAATGAACAAGCCAGCAGGGGTTTATTAAAAACAGATTATGCTAGACAAATCTTGTCAAATCCTTCTTTAATAAAGTGACTAAATTCGAGGACCAGTGAAATGCTATGGACATAGTATATTTGGGCTTCAGTAAGGCATTTGACAAAGTAGACTGCAGAAGTCTACAGTAGACTTCTTGATAAGATAGGAAAATGTGAGATAGACAATATCACCACCAGATGGATTCACAACTGGCTGACCAACTCAAGCATGTAGTCCTTAATGGAACATGGAGGAAAGCATACAGTGGGATACTTCAAAGTTCTGGCCCCTGTGCTCTTCAACATCTTCTTAAATGATCTAGATGAGGAGATTAAGGGGGAACTCATTAAATTTGCAGGTGACACCGAGCTGGGGGGAATTGCTAATACTTTGGAAGATAAACTCAAAATTCAGAAGGATCGCGACAGATTTGAGTATTGGGCCCTATCCAACAAGATGCAGTTCAGTGATGAGAAAAGTAAGGTTCTGCACTTAGATAGGGAAAAAAAACAGATGCATAGGTACAGAATTGATGATACCTTGCTCAACAGTCGTAACTGTGAGAGAGATTTAAGTGTCCACCACTTAAGTATACAGTACAGCAATGTACTGTAGCTGCCAAAACAGCCAATGCAGTCAGGGGCTGCATCAACAGGGGGATAACATCAAGAGCATAAGAAGTGATAATGCTGCTTTATTACTTGAAGGCCTCTCACAGAGAAATGGGGATTGACGTATTCTCCAAAGCACCAGAAGGCAGGACAAGAAGTAATGAGTGGAAGTTCTCAGTGAATATTTTAAAAAATAGATTGGACAACCATTTGACTGGTTAGCAGATTGACAGTAGCTGGATGGCTTTAAAAGAAGAAGATAACGTGTGGGTGAAAGGTATATGTACATGTTTATGTACATTAGCGAATGAAGGCAGTTAAACATAATTTTAGAATCAGTGCATATGAAAATAATGTTGGGAGTGAAGACAAAAATAAACAAGTCACTCAATTTCAGTGACAGAAGAGATGTGTAGAGTGATTGTATCCTGGAGATGCTGTGTGTGTCAAATGCAGGCTGGAGAAGAGGAGACCTCTGCATCCTGGATTATTGAGGAAATTGTCAGTTTAAACATACAAAAAATGGTGACAATCCAGAACACTAGCTGCCAGAAGAAAACTGTGTTAGTCCATTGAATCAAAAATAACAAAGAGTTGTGATAACTGAAAAACAAACATTGTAGATTTACAATGGTGTGTTCTTTTTATCGAGGCAAAAAGATTTTTGTGGCAGGTGCCTCTCAGTGAAGTAGATTACAGGCCTTTAACTTTTTAAAGTGCCTCGGGGCTCATGATATTTTTTACAATAGTGATTACTAGCATTGCTGACACAGTCATTAGTCCACAATCTGGAAATGTTCATCTTGTCCATGGTCCATGGAATCCCAAAGTCTGCTGTTTTGGCAATGACCAAGCATCAGCTGGACCAAAGGAACAGGTAACCAATAGCAGCAGGAGAAAAAACAGTCTTCAGCAGAATAACAGGGAGGGCAAGGTTAGACTCCAAAGAATGTCTGCATGAATTAAATAGACAGAGACCTACAGAAAGAACAGACATGCATGAATCTGAAAAGTTCCTTCACTGCCAACATGCTACCTATCTCCAGCATGTTATTCATGGGCATACAATGACTTAACAGACTCCCTTTTCTTATCTGGGATTGGTAACTGAAAAAATCAGGCTGGTAATTTTCAAACATTGTTCATTCACTTGCTTATCAAGACATTAGGCAGTACTTTTTGCCAGGCTGAAATAGAGAAACAGATAAATTCAGTAAATTACATTTCAAATTAGATTGTGCAGACAGTTAATAGAACAGTGGTCTTTGATGCTCTGCCACCTCCGAAGATCTCCAAACCAATCCCTTTGTGGACACTTTAGGATTTATTTATTAAATTTATACACCATCTATCTATCTCTCAGATACTAATTCAGAGTAAATGGTGTAGCTTAGGAGACCTTCTATGCCATACAAATGCTGCTTTCAGAAACGAAAAGTATTTTACCAACAATGTTCTTGTTTAGGAATGCTTGAGGAGTTTGATCTGTTTGAAGAGATCTGACTTTTATTTCCTGGGCAACAAAAATATCAGAACTTTACAACACACAAGCTTTGCTCATCGTTCACACACCTCTTGGCCATTCAATCCAAGTATGTTTAAAGCAGCCTGACTTTCAAGAAAATGTATTTCTGGATGTGTTTGTAAAATCCTTG